CTAATAGACTGGCTGGTCGCCAACCATGTCAAATGCCCTTCTAGATTGCGTTGATGGAGGGACGGGCCGAGACCATCTTCGCTGGCCTCAGGGGCCGCTTCTGTGTCTCGACGACGTTGGCGATGGGGGTTCTTCGCTAGACGAGCGTCGCGCTCTTCAGCGGTTTCACCCTCCTTGGTAACACTATCATGGCTGACGTGGAAAATCATGCCCCCGAACCCCAAAGGGAAAGTAGGGTAGCTCGACAGGGTCCTGGTCTAGCCCTCGGAAGAATCGTCGAGGCTTTTGTCCAAGACGTGATGAAGAGATTCGGTTAGAAGAGGGGAATCCTCCGAGAGCTGACGAATAGCCACCATGTTGACCAAGGGCGCAGGCTGACCGGGGTCAGTTGGGTCGATCACGTAAAGGTCAGTGATGTGATTGCGTTTGACATGGTGGGCGAAGAGGTGGTGGACGATGTTCTGATACGCAGATCCTACACCCTCCAGCCCGAAGGGGTAGGGCCTGGCGAGTTCTCCATTAGGGCTTCATAGTCATCCAGCGAAGGCGGTGGCGAGGCGTTGGTTGGCGCCGCACCGCGGCGCCCTTCTAGAGTAGCCGTGATCACCGGATCGAAATCTATCCGCTTTTGCGGTGTGGCCAAGCAGGTCATTTCGGTCACTATGGCTTGGTGGTCTCGAAGCCTTGAGAAAATCGCCGCTCGCTCTAGATTGATCTAGGATTGAATCCACGAGGAGTCGGCATTCGTCAGCGATCTCGTGACCCGATCGATGGATGCAATCGGATCATCATTAGCGATGGATCTCGATCCAATGATGTGGCGCCGGGACCAGAGATGTCATTCTTTGGTGTTGGCATGATCGGTAGCAGGTGATCTGCATCGGCTCCACGATCTCCTCATTGCCGCCGGGGCCGATGACCCAGGTCATGGATCCGACCGTGAAGATCTGGCCCGGCTCGAGGGGGGCCATAGAGCATGACAAGGTGACCATCTGGTTCGCCATTGATTTAGCACGCACACTCCCTACCTGGCGCGCCAAAGTCGACGAAATCTGGTCGGTAGTCTACCGAGGGGTATACCCACGGTAGTAGATAAATCGGTGGTGATGCGTGTGAGGGAACTGGATGGTGACACAGAACGCTAGAGACGGTGATTTATATAGGTTCAGGCCGTCAACTCGACGTAATACCCTACGTCCTGTGTCTCTGTGGTTTGTATTGCGTATGATTTGATCAAAACAAGGGGGGTCCCTACCCGCCTTATATAGCTTGGGGTAGGGTTACAGATCGGTTACTTCCATTCCTATCGATTTACAAGATAGGAAGTTACAGATCGTATAATACCTATCATATCCGAGCAGATTTCGTCGATCACCGATAATCTTTGCGTTACCTTGTGAAGCACGCCGTCCTGCGGCATACTTTGTACGTCATTGTCTTGCGAGATGGGCCCCGACCGGTGGCATGACCCATGCATAGCCTTGTAGGCTGGGCCTCCCCTAGCGGCTCGGCCCATGTGGAGTCTTGCGGGTACTGGGGTCATACCCCCACAGGGGCCCCACTTGTTCCATAAAAAACAATATAGATTTTGGATAAGTAATCTGAACTGTATTCAAGAAATGAAAACTTGAAAGCATCAATCCCTACAAGCAAAGCTCGTTGGTCGTGTAGATTATTAGACTTGATTTTTGGCAGCTTAAATTTATTATATAGATTTATTATAAGCCTGAATAAACAAGTGCATCTAGCAATTGTCATGGCCATGTGGTCTACTTTCACCTCTCAACATGACCTAGTGTGCTTCACAGCTCACTACGATCGATCACCTTTTTTTCGCCTACTTGAGATTACTTTCGTGCAGAATCGCTCAGCAGAACTGGCTAGCTCTATATAAAGCTGCCCTTGAGTAGTGTAGTGCAGCAAACTGAAGCTCCACAGGCCATCCTTCCATGCACACTCCCATGGCGAGCTTCCCCATGCCGCCGCCTGGTCATTTCAGTTCTACTACTATCGTGCTTCTTCCTTCTCCCGCTTACCCATGCAAGCAGGCTTCTCCTTGCCGCCGCCGCCGTCAATGACAGCAAATCATTTTCCATCAGAGCCGGCGGGAGTGGGGAGGGTGGTGGCCGCGGTTTCGGCGTGAGCATCAGCCACGGCGGGCACGACACGTCAATCGGCATCGGTGGCGGGTTCGGAGGCGGAGCCGGCACTGCCCGTGGCGGCGGCGCGAGAGCGGGGGCCGGAGCGGGTTCTGGTGTTGGCATCGACGTTGGACATGGCGGGGTCGATGTCGGGATCGGCGGCGGTGGAGGCGGCTCGGTTAGCGCCGGCGGTGTGCATGCCGGCGCCGGTGGTGGAGGCGGTGTTGGTGTTCACATAGGCCGCGGTGGAGTGAGCGTGAGCACCGGTGGTGGCGGCGGTGGCGGCGGAGGTGCGGACGGGGGAAGCGGTGGAGGCGGTTATGGTGGTGGCAGTGGTGCTGGACGCTCTGGCAACGCGGTGGGGAGCGGCGGAGGGTACGGAGGTGCGAGTGGTAGCGCCGGAGGTGGAGCAGGCAGTGGAGTTGGGTCAGCCGGCGGAGTTGTTGGCGGCTCCTCTGGAGGTGGTGGTGGCCAAGGTTGATGCAACTTGTCTATCTTAATTAATTCAATAATAATATACGTATTAAGTTTGTAGGAAATAGTATCCCAAAAACTAAAGGGCATGTATACCCATATACTATCGACATGGATGATGCCATGATGCGATGTGCAAGTTATATATGCCAGCCATATTTGTGCATGCATGCTAAAATGTGTGTCTATCTAGTTGTGCATCTAGCATATATGTGCTTTTTTTAGGGCAGCATCTTGTATGTGTTTGTGTTGACAAGCTTGCGCTATGTACTGCAACGCTAAACTAATTGTAATGTATCTCTACGATATAAATGGATGAATGAAATGTATATGGTGTATATTGGTATACTAATATGTTGGTATCCTTAAAGTTACACAAGGTATACAGTCCACGATAGATATAATTCTAGGTCCAATTAGAGTCAGGCTATCTTAGGGCCTACTAAGTTTGTAGGAAATAGTATCAACATGTATGACTTCAAATAGACTAATGAAAATATATGTTATGTTTAATCTAATGATATTTATTTAGTATAATTAAAATTAGTACCTTTTTTACATAAACTTAGTTAAATTTCAGATCGTTTGACCGAGCATTATTCTAAATTATATCATTTTTAGATGAAGGGAGTAGTAATGTTTTGCAAAAGCAATCAGATAGATTATTTTGCTATCTCTATGTGCAAATACATTGGATGGATAATGTGCCCTCTTTTTCCTTGCACCATAAAATATATCGCGCATTTATTCTTACACCATAAATATATTCTGATTGTACATTTATTTAAGCTTGTAGCTATTTTTATTTAAAAAATTCAAAGTAAGAAAAGTTTAACTTACAACGAGGCCAAAGTGAATTATAACTTAATTATTTCTATCATTTTAGTGTACCTGACCCCCGGCGCTATTTCTGGCTGGCTTGGCCCATGTTGTGCAGTTACTTTCCCAAATACACTAGCTGCCCATTCTTAATTTGTGTACTACTGAAGTCCAGCATCTAGGATCGTCAGTAGCTTTGTGCACAGTGCACTTGGTGGCCATTTTCCGTTGAAGAAGAAAAGGACACAGTTTAAAATCAATATCCAAAAAAGATGGTTTGCCATACAATTCGCATGCACATTGCACAATGAACCAACCAAGGCAACTCCCATTTGGGGTCATATGTATCAATGGTCGAATAATTTTTTTGAAGCTACATGGAGTAGCAATATGTAGCTGTATCAACCCAAATAGGCAAATATTTAGTGACGAAGGTAGTTTTTTTTTTTGGAGCAAAACAAAGGTAGTTGTTACATCGGTTACTCATTTTTGAGGGAAGAAAGAGAGGACCCAACCCAAGAAAGGCCCAACCCAGACGGGCAGCCCAGGTTGGCTCTTGTGGGGCAGCTATAGCCCATGTAGACAGAACAAGTTTCAACAGCCACTGATGACTGATCTTTCCCTCGCGCAATGGCGATACGAGTGCGTGAGTGTATATGTACATGTATATCTACTGTTTTTTTCCTTCTGTTTGTACAATATCATTCTAAAATTGAATGTACGGTACGGTGAAAGATTGTACGCAATCACCTACTACTGCAAGCTTAGGCCATGTTTAGTTCGCCCGGCGAAAGATGTACGGTACGGTGAAAGATGGTACGAAATCACTGTAGCTACAGTAGCACTTTGTTTTTACTTAGTGATACTTATTTAATCGTTGACTAATTAGGCTCAAAACGTTCATCTCGCAAAGTACAACCAAACTGTACAATTAGTTTTTTATTTCGTCAATATTAAGTACTCCATACATGTACCGTAAATTTGATGTGATAGAGAATCTTCTTTTTGCATAGTGTCAAATTCAGAAATTTGGAGAACTAAACATGGCCTTAGCTCAATCCCCAAGAGGCAGAGATGGCGTTTGATAGAGGCAAAGAATGTACATCGTTCAATGATTGCCTGACAGAGGTGATAGCCGACAGCACCTCAGCAAACAAGTTGAGGCCTTCAATTGGAAGATCGCTGAAGAAACCTCATGGTTTGACCAGAGCGGCAGATAGAGTGCCCCCAAGTGCACGGAGCTCTCGCTAGCGACGACGACGACGACGGCGCCCGCTCGATTGGTGATTTGGTGCTTTGCCTGTGGCGTGCCGAGGAGCCGAGCCAAATCCTTCGTTTGACCAACTGGCGCGTGAGTGTGACTGCCAGCTTATCTCTTCCCTCGCTTAATTCTGGGGCCCGGCGGCCGGCGCGGTGGGGCACGGCGGCTGCGATGTCGGCCACGACACTGTATATATAAAAAATGCTACTAAACGCTACAAGATCGCTCCTGCGTCCACCGGTTTGCGGCGTGGGGATCTCGGCCCTGACTGACCTGACCGTACCCGGAGCTCGGAGGCAGGCGCGATGGCAGTTCTGGCCGCGGTGAGCGCCGGAGCCGGGCAGGGCAAGGAGTACCCCGGCGGGCTCACCCTCTACGTCCTCCTCACCTGCGCCGTCGCTGCCACCGGGGGCCTTATCGTCGGCTACGACATCGGCATATCCGGTAACCACCGTCCAAGCTCTCCGTCTCCCATCCTTCGGTGTGCTCCACTTCTGCGACTAGGTGTTGGCTGTGTGGTTGTGGACTTGTGGTTGTAGTTGTAGCTTAGCTGGGTGCCTGGGTAGGGATCACCGCTTCGGCACTCGGCGGTGATTGCTGTACGTGGATTATGGAAACATACTCGCTTTCTCTAACTACTACCAAAGTACTCGAGCCATTAGTCACATTTGGGGATGTTTCAACTTTCTTTTAGAATTAGACAGTACAATGTAAACATACACGCACGCTCACCCCTATAAACACACGTAAACAAACCCTACTGCTATGAGCATCTTCGGAGGACTGAGCCGGCAGACCTCGAAATTCACGAAATCACGACAGAGGTCTCACTGTCGACGGAGACGTCGTCTACCATTGCAAGTCAACAATTATGAAAGCAGATTAGTACTTACAACAAAGATACATCGAGACACTAACACCAAATCACCAATGCACATAATTGCATAATTTTCTAAAACACCTCACGTAAGGAGTTTAATGTCTCGTGCTACTCCGTTTTAAATCGTAAACCATTCCCATTTATACCTTTTCTAGTACATAGTTTTATATATATATATACCTAGATATATAATATATCTGAGACATAATAAAAACTATGTATCTAGAAAATCCATCCAAAATGACTTGAAACCAAATTCGAAACCGACGGAGTGGAAAAGTTAAGCTTAGTTACAAAATTACAGGAGTTCGGAAGTAATCTAGAGCAAGTTGTGAAATCACGCTGGTAAAAGTAAAACTTTGAAGTGACCAGGTTGACCATGCTTTGCTGTAGTGCCGCCACAAAAGAATTCTAGCTTCTGCCCATCCAGCAGGATGACTCTGTAGTCTGTACACACATGCGCAGGCGGCGTGACATCCATGGACGCATTCCTGCACAAGTTCTTCCCGTCGGTGTACCGCAAGGAGCAGACGGCGCGGGGAGGCGGCAGCAGCCAGTACTGCAAGTTCGACAGCCAGCTGCTTACCGCGTTCACGTCGTCGCTGTACCTGGCGGCGCTCGTCGCCTCCTTCTTCGTCGCGTCCGTGGCGCGCTCCCTCGGCCGGAAATGGTCCATGTTCGGCGGCGGCGTCTCCTTCCTCGCCGGCGCCACCCTCAACGCCGCCGCGCAGGACGTCGCCATGCTCATCGTCGGCCGCATCCTTCTCGGCATCGGCGTCAGCTTCGCTGCTCTGGTAAGTTAATGTTTAATACAGACTCAGAGTCAGAGCTGCCTCCAACATTGTAGGATTACTTGGTGAAGAAATGAACCAAACATAGCATTCTCTGTTCTGCTACACATTGTGTTGCAGTGCATCCCGATCTACCTGTCGGAGATGGCGCCGCACCGCCTCCGCGGCACGCTGAACATCGGCTTCCAGCTGATGATCACCGTGGGCATCTTCTCCGCCAACCTCGTCAACTACGGCGCCGCCAAGATCGAAGGCGGCTGGGGCTGGCGGCTCAGCCTCGGGCTCGCCGCGGTCCCGGCGGCCGTAATCACCGTGGGCTCGCTGTTCCTCCCGGACACGCCAAGCTCCCTCATCCGCCGCGGCTACCACGAGCAGGCGCGGCAGGTCCTCGCCCGGATCCGTGGCGCCGACGTCGACGTGGCCGACGAGTACGGCGACCTCGTGGCGGCGGCCAGAGAGGCGTCCGGCGCCGTCGACGTCAGGCGCCCGTGGCAGGACATCCTCGGGCGCAGGTCGTACCGGCCGCAGCTCACCATGGCCGTCCTCGTGCCCTTCTTCCAGCAGCTCACCGGCATCAACGTCATCATGTTCTACGCGCCCGTCCTGTTCAAGACGATCGGGCTCGGAGGGGACGCGTCGCTCATGTCGGCGGTCATCACCGGGCTGGTCAACATCGTCGCGACGTTCGTGTCCATCGCCACCGTCGACGGGCTCGGCCGGCGCAAGCTCTTCTTCCAGGAGGTGCCAGATGCTCGTCTGCCAGGTCGTCATCGGAACGCTGATCGGCGTCGAGTTCGGGGCGAGCGGAGACGGAGCCGCCATCCCGAAGAACTCTGCGGCCACCGTCGTGGCGTTCATCTGCATCTACGTCGCCGGCTTCGCGTGGTCGTGGGGCCCGCTCGGTATCCTGGTGCCCAGCGAGATCTTCCCGCTGGAGATCCGGCCGGCGGGGCAGGGCATCAGCGTGGCCGTCAGCATGCTGTGCAACTTCGCCGTCGCGCAGTCCTTCCTCCCGATGCTCTGCCACTTGAGGTTCGGGCTCTTCTACTTCTTCGGCGGGTGGGTGCTCGTGATGACGCTCTTCGTCGCCATGTTCCTGCCGGAGACGAAGGGCGTGCCCGTTGAGAAGATGGGGGTTGTGTGGAGGACACACTGGTTTTGGGGAAGGTTCGTCACTGATATGGACGGCCGTGATGAAAACTGCGACTCCGCCTTCCACAAGGGCAATGGCATTGCTGTTAGAGAGCCGTAGGCGTCGTGTGTACATGGGGATCGGATGGTGCAAGTGAAACACATGAAACACGGTGGGCGGGTTGAGCTACACAGAAGGGTTTCTCTTAGGGCTCATTCGGTTAGGGGATTCCTGGCCTGAAATCGTTCCACTCATTTATAGTGCGGGCCGTTTGCATTCTTTTATTTTGGAGGAATTAAAATCTACATAATGGATTATGCTATTTAAATTGGAATTTGACATTCTATAACTTTTCCAAACTCACAAATAAGCCTATCTCAAATTCATAGGATAGAAGATGAAAATGGATTCTATAGATCACTATGATATAATTCTATTCTCCAACTTATAGCATAATCTTTAACTCACTTTCCTACGATAGAAATGCAGCATATAAATATGTCCCTTGTATGCCTATATAACAATAAATATACAAATGTATTCCATATACAACTATATTATCTTAATTAATCTATGACTAAATTGTAATTATTAGAATAAATTCAATTTCAAGAATCAAAACGGGTCTTATATAAATTAGACTACCATTCCTGATAGGAATTGGTTCCGTGGCACTGTTTTCCCATAAACGAACGATGCCTTACACTTTTTCTAAAAAAGCAGGCACCTAGTTCAGACGATAACGTGATCTTTTGATCTTCCTTTAAGATTCATACATCTAATCTATTAGATCTTCATCTCATGGCTCATAGTCGTTGCCAGAACAAAAATGCTATATTTCAGGCACTTGAAAAATAGAAAATCCCTTTTTTTATGTTGGGGGTGGGTTGGGTTTTTTTTTGGGGGGGGGGTACACAAAATGTTGGCAAGCAACTACTGTTTCGAATTTCTACATGATATACAAAATTATACGACAAATATAAGAAGCAAATCTGCAAATGAAGAAGCGCATATAAACTTATAAATCTATATTATAGTTCTCGTTAAATTGCAAAATGTTTTCGTCACTGCATTGGACTTAAAAAAATAAACAATGTTATTAGAAAAGTGAGAGAATAAATTTGTAGTAATTAGTCCATGAACCATGTTCCTACATGGGTATTAAGTTTAACGGAGCCAAAATGTTTCAAATTTATGGATAACTCTAGAGTGCACAGATAACCTGAATTGTTTGTCTTTGCTCATTTTAATTTGTTCATATTGTAAGACAACTCTAAATGGTGCTCCCTCAATCCTACAAAAATACCTACTTCTATACATTCACACACAGATTAAGAAGAGCTTATATAAAGCACCAAATTTCTTATATTGCATAAGTTGTTTTAGGATAATACTTTAAAAATAATTTAAGATATAAGAAAACATTATTATAGCAGATTATCTAAAATTTCTCTCCTGTTTCTGTACAGATAAGGAAGAGGGATTTGTCTACTTTATTTATAAAAAATAAAGTTGGTTCTTTGTAGGATATCTCTTGAAAATACTCCCTCAGTGCCCTTTTGATCATCATGTTTGATCGCTTCACAAGACTTAGTTTGGGACTGCTCCGCTCCATCAACTCCACCATGGAGCAGCTCCACCGTGGAGTTCGTGGAGTTCGTGGTACTGTTTGGCACACAACCTAGCACCAGCTCTAGAAATGGGTTGTTTCCCTGCAAATGATCTATTACGCCCCTGATTTACTTTTGTTTATTCAATAATACTCAACACATGCGTTAGTGTTTACTATTATTTATTTAATGGGTTTTCCTTTTTTGGAAATAAAGATTTGAATAATTAAAAAAGTTAAGAATGTTGACTGTCCTAGGCCACTCAAGGCCCAAAGGCCGAGCAGCCCAGCTGGCCAACGAACTCACCTTTTCCCCTTGCTGGAGCAAGCACGGGAGAAGGGTTGCGGCCATCACACGTACTGTGGAGGGGAGTCTGTGATCGTTGTTAATGAGTGGTACGGTGAGTAATTACTTCTCAACTCCGTGTGGGAGTACAGAACTTTAAAAACTGGAGTACCTCTTGAGATGTTTCAGAAAAAACATGGAGTTAGCCTCCAACTCTACATTTTTCTTGGAGCAGAGTTTGTGAAGCTAAAAGTGTTTAGCAACACAGAGCTAGAGCGGAGCTGCCAAAACGGAAGCGGAGCAGTTCCAAACACCCCATAAGACAGATGAAAAGTCACACTAATGCTGCCAGCCCATGTGTTTGGGAAGCATATTCGCCCATACGAAGGCACACTTGTCTTCCATGTTTCAGCGATCTGTGCACACAGAGTCAACCATGAGTTGCGCAACACATGTTCATATTATGACACAAACACAGCTCAATAAGGTATCCCCCGTCTCAGAGTACAATAACTTCTAGACATTGATACTCAGGTAGTCAGGTTAAAAAGAATTATATAAAGTCTAATTTGTTGCCCTTCAGTAAACACATCCCACTATATGCACGGATCAGCTCCCATATTGTTCAGCGCTTTCATTTTGTAGCGGTGTCTGCCAAAAGCATTTACGTGTCAACATAATTAAGAAAGTAATGTGACTAGTGCACCTACATTGAAAGGTGATTAGTGCACCAACCGAAATTGAAATAATAGACAAAAGAAATGAAAAGTGAGGGGTATTTCTGTCATACCACCCTTTGAAAATCCCTTAGAACTCAGAAGTAGCTATATTTTGGGACAAATTTTGGATGATATAAGTAGACATTTTTTGAGACGTAGGTACTCCTTTCATATATTTATCTAGTTTTAATGCACTTTATTTACCGATTAATGGAACGAACTAATCCATTTGACATAACTAATCCATAAATGGATGATCAAAAAGTGTTCTGTATCCATAAAATTTACCCAAGCATAGACCTAGGCATAAGTGAGATGCAATTTGGGATGAGGGAACTTGTTGTGGACGCCTTTAGGGCAGCTCCGGAAACAGAGAAGCCAAGAAATGCCATGTTTTTGTGGCTTCGACTTCTGGCCCTAAAACGGCTTTGTTTTTACTGTTTTTGACTTCTCTGTTCTCGTGTGTACTCGTTTGATAGAACTTTTAATTAAGCGGTAGAGAAGTCTCTATAGAAGTCTCGCCAAAGAGAGCCTTGATGGAAGCATATTGAAGAATGGGACATGATAATCCATGCAAAACTCGGCAAGCCGTCTTGACCCGGAATGCATCGCTGCCTACTAGTCGGACAGCAGCGCCGCGCCGACCCGCCTCCAGGTGACGCGGTATTCAGCAGAGTGCGGCCCACCCTCAGCCCAGGAACGTGGAAAGTTCCAGGTACGTTTTTTTTTTCTATTTTTTCTATTAAGTCTGTCGTACGCGTCTTCCAAGTACGTGTTTTTTCTCTATTTTTTTTCTTCTTTCTTTTCTTTCCTTTCTACTATTTCTTTTTTTTTTCTTTTCTCTTTTCTTTTTGTTTTTTCCTTATTCTTGTCATCTTTTATTCTTTTTTAATTTCTTTTCATCTTTTATTCTTTTTTTTATTTTCTTTTCTTTTTTCTATTTCTTTTTCCTTTCCTTTCTTTTTTTTTTTATTTTCTTCTTTGGTGGTCTTTTATTATTCTTTTTGTTTTCTTTTCTATTGTATCTTTTCCTTTTCTTCTTCTTTCCTTTCATTCATTTACTTTTCTTTTTCTTTTTTTTTTTTTTCGTGGACTTTTGTCATTCTTTTCATGTTCTTTATTCTTTACTATTTTATTTTACTCTATTAATTTTTATTTTCTTTTTCCTTTTCCTTTTCTTTTTCCTTTTCCTTTTCTTTTTCTTTTTTGTTTCCTTTCCTTGCTTCTATTTAGTTTTTTTTTTTCTTTTTGTTTTCTTATCTTTTTTATTTTAATGTTTATACATTTTTTATTTCTTCTTTTGATAGAAATAATAATTTTGTTTATTTCATTTTCTGTTTTCGTATTTTATTCTTTTTTATTTCCCTTTCTTTTCTTGTATTTATAATTTTATGTTTTACTTTTTTTATTTACAGATACACGTGATGTTCATGTAGTATACATATAATGTTCTATCATTTATTTTTTTTATGTCCGCGAGTAAAAATGAAATGTTCTACGATGTATTTTGTGATGTTAAGTAAGCATATTGTCGGCGTTTCGGAACCGGGGGTCCTTAACCGACTAGTGAATTTGTTCTGCGTGCTCCCTCTTCCGGATGGAGATGCAAAGAGACACAAGGTTTATACTGGTTCGGGTAATTGATGCCCTACGTCCAGTCTGAGAAGGTGTTCTTGTATTCCTTGCACCGGGGTGCTCGTAGTAGGGGGTTACAAGCTAGGCGAGAGAGGGAGTTCGTTCCAGATCTCTGTGAGGGGATGTGATATGAATTACAGAACGAGGCGTGTTGTTCGTGCGAGTATCTGTGATTCTATCCGTCGTCCTGGAAACGGTCTTGGCTGCCTCCTTTTATAGCCACAGGGAGGAAACCAGGAGTACATAAGAGAGCTACACGTGGAGCAAGGACTATTCGATGACGTATTTACACCTGGAGCAGCATGGCGTTGTCGTGGGAGTTCCCGTAGATGTCTAATCGGTATGGTCTTCTTTTTGCAAGTAACATCTTTGCGCATTTATTGACTTGGTGGATTGTAGAGGCTCGGCGCCTTCGTAGTGGCCGTCGTGCCGAGGCCTGTCGTGCCGAGGGCACGAGAAGTGACCAGTGTGGATGCGGGTCTCGGCAGACCATCGTGGAATAGTGCGAGACGTGCGCCTGCTGATCATCTGTACTGTGTTGTCGTGAGGGATGGTAAAAAGGTGATCTCGACCGTTGTCCCGTCACTCTGTTGCAGCCGCAAGACCGCCCATCGTGGCTTACGTAGTGGGTGCGCCGAGCGATTAATCGGATGTGATGACCGCAGAGAGACTTTTGAGGCGGAGGCGACGAGGTTGTGGAACGAGCCCGGCCTCGGGCGAGCGGAGCGCCGGTCGATTCATCCGAGGCCCTTTCGAGGGGGTCTCGAGCGAGGCGGACGGGCGAGGCGAGTAAGATCGTGAATCCGAGGCCCCTGCCGAGGGGGCTCGGGCGAGACGGAGTGGTCGGTCCGCTGATTCCGAAGGCTACAGG